GCCTCCCGCCCCCCCCCCCCAGGGCCGGTTTTCGTCCCCAGCCAGTACAAAGCCGCTACCAACGCGTCCAAAGCAGGCGAAAAGTGCACACCCCGGCGTTATTTTTCATGAAGCGGCGAAGCCAAAACCCCCGGGGTGTCAAGCAGGGCTGCCGGGCAGACAGCCGCCCCCCGCGGCCTCCCACCCCCGCGGGCACCGACGGCAGAGAGAAACCCCGCGCTAGACGGGGCGAACGGGTCGGAGCCGCGCCGACCTAGGGCGAAACCGAAATAAGCCTCCTGCAGAGAAGAGAGCTGGGAAAAGGAGCGCGAGTGCTGGCTGCTCCCTCCCGGCGTGTGATCCCCTCCGGCGAACGATGCTCGCGAGCTCCGATTGCCGGTTTTATTCGAATAATTCGAGAAACGGGGCTAGCCCCATTGGCACTGTCGTATGCCAGACGAGTAGATATTTTTCCTTCCTTCGTCGTGATATTTGGGGCCGCTCTGTAATCACACCCGTACCAATAGTATCGCCAGCAAAAGGAACGGCCCCGCGTTATTTCCTACGCTGTGCGGGAGCGGCTATTTTGAGTTTTGAACGTTGAGGACATTGTAAAACCTCTCTTTTTTATTTTTGGTGTATCACCAGAGATTTGGCGAGTTTTAAATACTTTAGGTGTAAAGTTTGTTCTTAATTGGGTCTTGTAAAGATGGAATTTGGTGGCTATTATATAGCTGCTAATCAATTTTCACCCAGCAGCAAAGGTATACTGCGGCGGATTTAGGTTTAATGAAGTGACTGTGCAAATTACACTTGCGGACTTTATTTAAAGTCTATCAACATCCTAAAAATGATTCCTCAAACTGTTCTTGATTTCCTTTGCTTTATGAAAAACATTACATTTACTTTCTAAGGTTTCCGGCATTACCAGCCGTTCTCTCCCGCTTTCTAGTCTGGCGCATGAGGGAGTTTTCCAAATCTTTATTTCGAATTCATGGGAAAAAGTGTGAGTTAAACTTCTAGAGCAACGAAAAATGTATCCTGTAGTAGCTAGAAATTAATGTAGAACGATTCTAAAAAGAATGAGCAATGCGCACATCTGCTCTAATATTGGAAAGCGGATTTTTGTCGTTTCGATCTCGTACTTGTTATTTTGTACGGGGAGCACTCTGAGATCGTGAGCAAATTTTTGGTGGCTGTTATTTTGGTAGGGTCTTTTCTCTCTCCTTTATGCCCGTCGCCCTACTAAGAGAGAGCTCCAGGAAGAAGATTTTACCTACGTCTCCTTAGGATCCGCAGCGGGAAGAGCTGCTGCTGTTACAAACAAATTGAAATGCGGTTCCTTGAGAGCGGAGCGGGGCGACGTGATCTCCGGAGTTCCCGTCTTTAGCTCCCTTCAAAAACACTTAACACATTTTTTACAACAGATTTTTTTACAGCTCGACCTCTAATACTTTCTCTGTTTTTAGTGATGGGTTTTGGACAGCTGGTCCTTATTGATATCTGGGGGAATCTCACACACACCCACAAAAAAAAATGTTTTATTCTCCAAGTTCAGCGGGTGGAATGGAGCAAGTGGAGTAAGTTGGTGCCCTTTCTCTTGCGCGTCCCCGAAGATAAATCGCTCGACCTTTTCCCATACCCAATATTTAAGAGAACAATGAAGGGAAATTTCCCCGAAATTCCCTTTATCCGATTATTACACTTGTGAGCGCAGGGCAGCTCGCTCGGTCCCTTTTCAAGGCACTGGGGAGCGGGGAGGGGAGACGGCGAGCCCCGCGGGCGCTGCGCGGGGCGGGAGGCAGCGCGCTTCCCTCCCTCC